TTTAGATGTTTAGAGTTTAGGGTTTATGGTGGCAGTACTTGTTCACGTGCAGAGTCCCAAATCTTCTTTAGGAGATGTTGCAACCGCATAGAATGCAGGTGTCGTGTCTAGGTTTGAATCCGGGACCCTCTAAAGCCGAAGTCTAAAGTCTCGTCAAATATCGTCGCTGTAGACACCGCCTTACCCGAGCTGAGTCTGAGTCGCTCCTTGCAANNCCTAAACCCTAAGCCCTAAGGTAACTTAGCACAGTCAACCCTAAGGAATGGTACTACAGGCTTGTAGAACAGACGACATGTAGAATTGTACTTATAGACAAATATATGGGTAGTTCTCTAAATTAGGATCCCTTTTGGTCTGCTGGTTTTGATGATGGACGTGCGAGGAGACGGGCTTCACCAACCAGGAGGTAGCTGAGTCTGATTCCCAGCTCTATAGTATCCAGCCTCTGCATGACGATTCCAGGAGCAGTTCCGGGGCGTTGGACCGAGGTCTCGGGAACTCTTCCTGAGTTCCCTTGGCGACTCGCAAGACCTGGGCTTTGATGAGGTGCCTGTGGATTTCAACTTCACAAACCCTTGTGACTTGCCTTGGGTGCTCTATTGTGCGTCAGTTCCGGGCCATGATTCATGGAATCACGCCCTTGAATGATGCCCGCACGAAGCAGCTGGAGGAGATCTTCGCCGAGGCATGCTCACATTGCTCACCTCCGCTCCCATGTGATAGCAGGTGAGATCGTAAATGCTCGTAGGTCTGCAAGAAGCAGCCAGAGGCTGGGAGAGCGCAACGATTGCAACGTTGTTGCTGTATAGGCGCAGCCGCGGCTGGAACACGTCCCGCTTTCCAGGCAGACTTCCCCAACTTCCTGGTGTTGCTGAGGAAGCTGCTGGACCTCGACTTTGCATCGATCAAGGCAGGTGGCATCGGGCCCTCGCCTCTTCAGAAAGGCTGAAGCCCGTGCGCAGGACAAAACCAGTGGACCTCTGCAAAAGTGATTGTACATAGACGAGCTTTGAATCTGGGCCACCGCCCACACACGAAGGTCCGTTGCAGGCAAGCGCTTTGCCTGGAAGAGATTCGCAAAAACTGCGGTCCCACCAATTAAGTTTTCGCTCTTCTCTGCATGTCGATCAGCGTCTGATCAACCCTTCATGTCCAGTAGTCATGAAGGCGAGAGTTTTCATTGATGGGGCCATCTGAAACAGATGCGACCTCCGCCCCCTTGACCGCACGAGGTCTGAGCGCCTAAGGCCGCCCCTCGTCGAGTCCGAATGAGACAGCTCAGAGAGTCATTGGATTCTCTTGCTCGCCTTAGGGGTGTTTGCAGGCTGTCAGCTTGCCACCAGGTCTAGTGCCCAAAAGTCCCCTGTTCTGCTCCTCGCCGTCGTGCCTTGCGGCAGGGCACAAGGCAGCGACCAAGACAAATGGGCGTCTCGGAAAGAAAGACATTGTGAGAAAGCCCACTCATACTATGCATATGCGACGAGCCTCCACTCTTGCTACTTATGCAAAGTTTTACCCTTGAACAGGGCTCCAGACAATTGGAAGGGCACAGGTTAGTGGCTATTTTGGTACCCATACATCATCATAGGGCTGTGCAGCTGTATTCACGGCGTCGGAAAGCGTGTTGCGCTAACAGATACACATCGATTGCTTCACTCGTACTTCGTATTGCGGCTCGAATCACAGGAAGTACCTATAGATCTGTCCAGATTCCGGACAGCGTGCATTTGTTTTGCTGGCGGCCTAGTCTGTACGCGAGGTGTTAGGTGTCAAGATTACAGTGGAGCTGAGGTCGCAGTTCATGCCAGAGACAGGAGCAGAAGCGGATGCTGGCTAGCATCTGGTAGCTGATCGTTTGCCATATTAATGGGGCTTCTTCCAAGTACTCATGATTTCGCACTATAGGTTTGCGCCGTGCACAAAGACGACAAAGAACCAAGGATTGCAATGCTGAGGTTGTGAGCTGCGAGAATGCTTCTGCGAGTGAGTGTGGGCTGAAGAAGACGGCTCTCGACACACTTGGACTTGGGGAGCCTGGCATCGCGCACGTTGATTGCGATGCAGAGACGACCCTTCCTGCTACACCAGCCACACCATCTTCTACGTACACGGGGAGTTCAAAGACATGCGTCCTGGACGGTGGAGCACTTAGAGCGGCAGAGCTGCTCCAGCACCGCGCCGCAGATACGATCTGACAATTGGCAAAGGCACCTGCGATCTTAGCGACATCGAGGAGCTTGCCATTCTAGAGGCATGCAGTTAGAGACAAGTATCTGGAGCATGAGAAGCAGACTGCTGCTTTTCCAAAGCCTTCCATGTTTGAGGAAAGGGCGGATGTGGTGCAAGTGGAGGGTTCATGGCAGTTATTGTGGCCTGTTTGTGTGAACCATCGTAGGGCAGGGACTTGGAGACTCACTTCCAAAAGCATTACCTCCAAATTGACCGGCCAACAAGCAGAGCCGAGAAGGATGCATGACTCGACCTGGTGCAGCGAAGCTCGATTCATGCATCAGCGGATCAATTGGTGCGTTGCACGCGAGGTCGGCCCGAGCCCTGCCTCCTCGAAGAGGTCCGGGACACACCCGCAGTAGCTTTGTAGAGTTTCTTCTTAAAGCGGGTGTTTTGTGTGTGGTAGTCAGATCCGACTCAGGGGTCCAAGGGCCTCGGCCCGAGCGAAGGCGAAGCAGGCGGAGCAGGCGGAGCAGGGCAGCAGGGGCTTTGGGCTTGTGACAGCCGGTGACAGCTTGTGCTTCTGTCCGTTGTTCATACAATTTTACACGGGGGGTGCACTGTTATTCGTACGGTCTGAGTAAGAGCTTGGCACGGGCTGATGGCAGCAACACAATTTTGAGATGCGTACAAGATGGTGAGCACTTGCTGAAAGCCAAGGGAGAAGGATGAACATGATGAATCGACAGACCTTTCGTTGCGCGCGGGCTCAAGCTCTAAGTATCAGTTTAGGAACATCTGGATTACACGATCGGTGGTTGGAGGCCAGGGGAGAGACGTTGTGGTGTTCTGGTGCCGAGACGCAGCGCTGAGGTGCGCGGCGGGGCGCCGGCCGGAGCCCATGGCCCGGCGGCTGCTGCTTTTCCTGGGCCTCGGGCTGCAGGCCACTTCGGCTTGTCTCGCAACGTCGCCCGACAGCCAAGTTGAGAGAGAGGGCTGCCAGACCCGCAGGTGCCCGTGCTGCAAGCCCAGACCAACGAGGATGTGGCCTTCATGCAAGGCAGCCCCCTGGGCTGCTTTGTCAGAGGCCAGGTCCTAGTATCGGAGAGCTCCAGCCCTGCATGTCAGCACCTGAAGCAGTGTACAGTCAAGCTGATGCCGATTCAGGTTTTAAATTTGACCGGTATATTCCGAACAAGAACATCAACACAACCAGTCTGAAGCTGCGTGGCAGAAGTTGCTCTTACGAAACTCTGCTGAGCCCTCTTCCACTCGTAGCACAGCCAAGGCTATGCCAAGAGCATTGTCAGTACGTTGATGGGTGCGTCAAGTTCTCCTACAGGGCTTTCTGGGGAGAATGCTGGTTCGCTGCCTTTGCCTCAGCATGCAAACAGAGAGTTGTGCAGAAACCTCTACTGCGACTGGGACTCTGCGTGGACAAACACATCCATCAGGACATCAACGCAGTCGAAGTTCCTGTGGACAGCCCCTACTTGATCGTAGGCGGAGTGCTTTCTGCAAGTTGTGAGCGGACCGCAGGTGTCATTGATCGCAGCATCTTGCAGGCTACAGAACCTGCGATGCAGAAGGAATGCACCTGCCTGCAAGGCTCTGCAGTCCTGCTCGGAGTTCTTGAGGAAACCCTAAACTCCCTACACCCCCTGGTGCCAGGTGCACCACCGAGACGCCAGGGAATGGTTTCCCGGGTCAATCTGCAGAAGCCTCCAACAGTGCATGGCCAGGCCGGGGCACCAAAAAATGGCACGCTTAAGGGGTACTAGAAGGTGCGATAATAGGGTCGGGTCCCCTTTAATGGGGGGGGGGGGGGTGTAAGGATCCGATGAAAGGCACCTCCTCCTTGTTGACCGCCCTGAGGTGGCAAGCAGCCCTACGGCCTGGAGTGCTGGCCAAAGAGTTGGGACGGGGCGCCCCTTCCTTGCACTCAGGCCTGGGGCTGGCTTTGTCAAGGGGTATTCGTAGTTTGGATCTGCTAGCTTGCCGGAGGTCGACGTGCTCGACGACACGAAGAACGGGTGGCCGGGGAAATGTGTCGGCCTTGTGGATCCTTGGCCTCAAAGTGGGACACGAGCAGTTTAAGACGATGCATGGTTGTGAACCGTTGTGAGTTGAGGAGATGAAAGAGATCAATGGATCCAAGTGCGGCTTTCCACTTACTTGCCACCGGGCTGCTACGCACCTGTTCGAATTTGTAGAGCCTCAGGCGAGAACTGCCGCCAGCATCCTGAGTGCCAGTCGTGGCAGAAGACGGTTTACAACAGCTGTTGGCAGGGGCTTGGCAAGGACGTGCAAGTGCGCGGCAGTTCAAAGTGCAACACTTCGATGCAGAACGCCTCCGAGGGAGTCCCTTGCCAGGACTGCTTCGTCCGTGGCAACTTCATGCCAAAGGAAGCTCAACGGCTTCAGCATGGATCTGTACGAGTGCTGAAGGACCTGACCGGATATCAGATAGTTGGCAGCTTTGCAGAAATAAAGCTCGGCGGGGACCGCGTTGCCATCTGCCCAATCTTGAGAGGCTTCATTCTCTGGTCTCGTGTTGCAAGGTTTGTGGAAAGGCTTCGACAATGACGAAGGCTTCTTTCAGAAACTTGGTGGCAGAGGCCGTATCTCACTGACAGCACAAGGCGTCTGGCTTTGGAACTGGATCGACTGAGGAATGTACAGGATGCGATATCCTTTTGCAAGCACATGTGCTACTCGGACTTCAGATGTCAATACTGGACTTATGCTCCGAATTATGGCTGCTGGATTGAGGATGCGTCGCAGGCGGACGCGCTTTTTCGGTAGCTGCCGTGAACACGGGCTTTGGAACATGTTGTTCACTGCTGGTTGCAGGAGTATGGACCACCTTTCCCTCTAACACTGGATGCCGCCCGCCGGGACACAATGTTTGCCCAAGACTGTGTGGCCGGTGAGTATATCCAGCACTTTTGCCCAGCTGCTTGGCTTCGTAGCCAACATTGCAAGCGGCTGCAAGAAGCCCATAAGATCCAGAAGCCCCTGGCTGTGGCTAAGGAGGGTTCCGTGAGCCGCAAGGAGCCGGCACCTCCGGTAACCCTGTCGAACTGTGCAGAACGTGGCTTCCGATACGAGCCACCCGACATGTTCCTCAGCTTCAGGCACTCCGGCACTCGAGGGAAAGCGCCTAAGTCTTGACCCGTGCGAGACGATCCCTGGTGCACAGGACTACAGAGGCCAACTACGAGGCATGTCGCCAGAGGTGCAAACTGACGGTCTATTGCTTCTCGGAGGACACCCAGTAGGCTTTCAGCCATCTCACATAAGCCCTTCCGCGTTCTGCAACTTCAGGGGTGAAGCTCGCTCTCCGAGGCAACTTCTTCGCGTACTGGCCTGATGGCGGCTGTCACATTGCTGGTGGTGATGCTCATCGGGTGCCAGCAGAGAACTACGAAGTCATTTCAGGACCCCGCTCGCAGTTTGCGTCTCTTTGGCCACACAGATCCGTACATCGCCCAAATGCTATAAGCTGAGCTCTACACACTCAGAGTCAAAGATGACATGGCTGTCGGCTTCAGCAGGTCCCACGGATTGCTCCAAAGCCTATTCCACCACAACAAACCTGGAAGCCTGGGCGACGACCGCACCAACGTTGTCACCGGTGGTGGTGCAACCGGGCAAGACAGGACAGGTCCGGCAGTTTTGGGGTGATGTTTCGGCGCTGCTGCCAGCAGTGATCTCCACAGGAGTGAAGCCCAAAGTAGCAGCTGACGACACCAAGCCGGTTGAGCTTCCAGACACAGCGCACATGGCTGAGATCGCGACTCTCGGTAAAACGAAGTTGAAGGAGTTCCTGACTCGGGTCTGCGAGGCGGGGCTTCATGTCGGCTGTGCGACTCAGGATCGTGCTTCACAACTTGGACGTCTCGTCCCTGTCAGAGCCGGCCACCTGGCTGTTAGACGTACCCAGACCTTCTGTTCAACAACAGACGGTGGAATCTGCAACTGTTGTTTGAAGGCCGATGCCTCTTAAGTCACCACAACTGCATGCACAGCATGTCATGTCTGGACCGAGGAAGTCCACCTCCTGCAAGCACGGATCTTTGGCTTGAACTGTCCCGTTCTGCCGTGCTGGGCAGAGTTCCCATTTACCCACGAGTTGTGCAATTTGAGTTGTCTTCGGTGTTGTCCCAGAGTTCTTCATGTGAACATGGCTACTTGTAGAGTGTTTTCCTTCAACAAAGCTCTACCCGGAATCGCGAGTGCCCAGCGACATCATTTCTCTTTCCCCGAACTTCTGGCCTGTTGATGCTTTGTCATTGTCGGTGCTCTCTCTCGTCTCTCCTTTTCCCACTCTCTCTGGCTAGCATGGTGAATCCTGTAGCTTGTGGTGCTGCTGTTCGTCAGCATTTCACCGCATCATTTCCGACATGACTGCTGGTATCTACATCACGGTGATGCTTGAACGCTGTCCAGGTATGCGCAGGCACTCTCACAGACCTTGGGTGTTCCAGTGGATCAGGTACAAGAAGGACGCGGCTCCTGGATTGAACATGGCACCATGCACCCATGGCCTGCAGAACGTCCATGTTGCTGGCTGCCTTCCTGAAGCTCCCTACCAGACTGGTTTCTTATTCTGCACTTCTGAGATCTGTGTGATGTTTGTAATGCCGGGCTTGTTCCATACCTGGTGGTAAATTTCCCACTGCTCGGAGCAAGCTCCCGTATGATTTCCCTGTCACCCTAAAACCCTCAGCCTTTAACCCTAAACCCTAAATCCCAACACCCATCAAGCCCTTGAACTTGCACATATATATATATATATATACATACATACATGTGTGTGTGTGTGTGTGCATAAACAGCAGGACCAGGTTCCAACGATCTGAAGGCCCAGGCCAGGGAGCGTTCGCAGACCGTCGGCGCTCCTGTTACATCTACTAAACCTGTATGTCACACACCATCTCGCCCTGACCCATGTCAATGTACCGGGATGGAGCAAGCCGAAAATGAAGAGATTCAAGTTTACTTGTGCTATTCCGTCCTGTCGTGATGCATCATCCTGTGCTCGCATGCACTTTGCTTCGCTGTAGACGAGCCTCAATTCTTGTGCGCCAGGTGAAGCTCACACCAACGGCTGGCGGGTCCATGCTCACAGACTCTCGGTTACGCAACGGTTTCATGTTGAGTTCTCGGATCGAACTGAGAAACCATCTCGGCTGCCGGGCGGTCTTCAGTTTTGTTGGGTTGGGAGTTTCTGGGCAGCTACAATCTGCAACGCCGCTTGACCAGCAGTCCTCGTGGCTTTTTGCGTCAGCCTCTCGATATGCTGTGGTCAGGCCTTTACCCTGAACGACCCTGTCGGAAGACTCTTGGATGGATTGAAGTGCAGCGAGGCGTCTTCCATTCGTTGCAGCTTGTATTCCTTCCTGTAAGGCCCGGACCCAGCGAAGCTCTTGGCCAAGCTGAAGGCCACTTAGCAAAGCGACATGCGGAATGCGAGCTGGGAGTCTTGAAGATTTTTTGAGGTGCTTTTGGAATCCCTGTCCAAGTTGCCCAGGTCCCTGCGCTGCCGTCCAACCTGAAAGCAGCGACCAGTGGCGCCGCGCTGCCGCCGTCGTCCATGTCAGGTAGCCTCTGCAAACAGAGCAAGAGTGAGACACGCCCTCAACTACGACAGCTGGCAAAGGTCCTCTGCTCGTTAGCGAGCCACTGGTGGGAACCAAGGACCATGAACTCTTGAAAGCTTCTAGGAGCGCATGGACACAAGCTACTCTGATGACCATCGGATGCCATCCTGCACCTATCAAAGGGGTGAAGTGTTGAGGACTCCCGTCCAACTCTGCAGCTTTGAAACGGAGGCACAACCTTGCCACCTTGCTTGAAGGAGCACCCACTTAAGGGCCCGCGGCCTGAGCCCAGCTTCTTCTCGCAATGGTGGCCTTTGATTACCGTGCTGGCGATCATCGCGACTCGGCTCGAAAAGCCAAGAAAACGAAAAGTTCAGTGACATAATCTATAAAGGAAAATAACACATAACACATTATAATATACAGTATAGAAAGTACAATGTTTAATCTTCAGTATAATAGGATGGCATATAATATGATATATACATAAATGTATATATATATGTATGCATCTATATATGTAGATATGTATACAGTATAATTCACATACAAACTAATACACAGCAAATAATATATAGTATAAAATATATAGTTTACTACATTTACAAAATAACATGGGCAGTAGAAAATAGATAACATATAATAAAGAATACATGGTCTATAAGCTAGAACAGACCACATGATAATCTTTAACACATAGCATAGAGTTTACACTATATATATATATATACACAGTATAATCTTTATTAATTTCACATATATCACATTATGTATATATACACATTATGTATATTTACATATATAATGTTAAGAAAAGTATGTTATCATGTATAGAACCTCTAAGCCAGAATACAGTATTTATTATACAGTGTGAAATATAGAGTGAAGAATATCTCAGGTATACTATATAGTCTCTGTTTATTAGAGTAGATAGTACACAGTAGATGCAAGGCAATAAGATATGATAAAATGGAACATCTTATCATATATTATAACATGTGTTTTTAAAAGAGTGGAATAGAATAACATATTTCCATTATACTCTATACCATACTATGCTATACTTTAAGATAACGTAAAACAGTGTTATTATCTGTAAATCAACATAGTACAAGTTAACTTTAATGTAATGTGCTACGATGTAGTATACTGTAATCTCATCTACTGTAATGTCGTAGATTACACAATAAAATAACTTACCGCAGTATAATATAATGTAGCATCACATCGTATGTTATACCATACGATACTATAGTATACTATGCTATACTGTATTCTCTCATGTCAGATTACAGTGTATCGTACTATATATACATTGTCATCTCATATCATTATATCATGTTATGTTATACTGCATCGTGCCACATCATACTACAGCCTATGATAATACCAATGTATGAAGTATTCATTTTGCTAGGTCATGTCAGGTTGTATCTTACTGTATTATATTATATGCGTGAGATCTTATCACATCGTTTTTTATCATACTACATCATGTTGTGATGTTAGATTATATGATCTCACATTAAATTATATTATGCTCTATTCCGTTTTTCTATTATATCATAGTGTATAACCCTAGGGTCAGGAGAGGTCAAGAAGCTGTGATGACCAAATGAAGAAATGGCCCGAAGAGGGAACACATATGCACACACTGGGGCTTTCCAGTTTTCCCCGAGACAGACCGAGAGATGTCACACTGTCATCACATGCATGGGGTCGTACATGAGGTCGCATCAGACCCGGAAGAACCGGGGTCCTCCAACCCAGTGTCTCTTGCGGACAGCCCAGGGGCGTTCCCCTACGGCGGGCTCGTCCCTCATACCATCCTTGACACGCACCTCATGCCCCGGAGAACAGAACAGAACAGAGAGGGAGAGAGAGCGAGGGTTTTTGTTGAAATGCCCGCATCTGTGATGATTGAGGCTTGCATCGGTGGAGGCTGATGAGCGCACTCAGTTTCCGGGCTTTCGGATGGTAGGTTGCACGCAGATTGTTGTGTTCTTGAGCAGTGCCTTGTGTCCGGTGTCCGGGTCGGTTGCATGTTAAGCTGGGAGGCTAGGAGCATTGTGTTTCCTCGGAAGGAATCTACATCCACAGAATGTATGAAGAGCAATTGGAAGAGAAGCGCCCGGTCCCTGGATGGCCGGCCTTTAGTTTTTGAGTCACATACCGAGTCAGCGGTCTGATAAGTTTTGGCCCGTTCCAGGTCTTGTCGCTTCTGGCAGAGGGATCTCCGTGCAAGACTCGGACATGTCCGTCTCGCTGAAGGATCTGGGGCAAAGCATATGGATAGTTCTCTAAATTAGGGTCCCTTTTTAGGTCCCCAATTTAGTACGGCACCCTTGTGAAAGGAACCCCAAAATGGACCCTAGTTTAGAGAGCTACCCATATTCTGAAGTCGTCGACTGTGGTTGTTCGTAGTTTAGAGGCAAACCCGAACCAATGTTGCCCGAAGCCGACAGCCCAATGTCCTACAGTCCTACGATTGATGGCTCGTTGTGACAGGATGTCGAGGACTTTGACTCGCGCCCCGGATTGGCTGATTTAAGTAGCTCGGGTGGGCCAGCGTAGATCAGGCTAGGGCTCTGCTTTTCGGAACACTTGGGTACTTGGGCGAGGCGTCGCATGGGCGTTGACCAGACAGGGTTCGTGCTTCTTGCCAAGTGACTGTATATAGGTGTTTCAAGCCTGCCTGGCATGCCAGCAGCATCCGCACGCGTCTTGAGTCTGATTTTTCTGCCCAGGGGCTACGACCCATCCCCTGGTTCGGGCAACGGCTACCAGCCGACGCCCTACCCGGCTCCCTACCAGAGTTCTGCCTCCTATGGAGGCGCGGCATAAAACTGTTGGGCTGACTCTGTCCCCGTTGCTAGTTGGCCGCGTGCAGGTCCGTCTTCGCAGCGGCATGTCCGCAAGTTTTTTGGGCTGTGTGTGCTGTGCGAACCTGTGCGCTTGCTCTTGCCAAGAACATGATGTGCAGCCTAGGAGCTACCAGCCACGACAGCAGAATAGCTATCAAGGCCCGAGCCTGCAGATTGTGAGCCCCACGTTCTAAGCTCCAAACAACATGTTGCTTCGATGACCCTGGCAGGCTACAATCCTCAGTGCCCCGGCAGCACATCCCGTCAACCAAGATCTCTCCAGCGCTTACTTGAAATGCAGCAGATGCTGGAAAGCCACTACCCAAGGCCTTACCAACCAAGATATGCGTCTTGGCAAGAAGATCTGGGCCTTCTGATCTCGGCTCTGACGGAAACTCCCCTCCCTCATGTCCCAATTCTGACCTGCACTCAATCAGCACGTTTGCTGCTGCGTCTCGTTCGGTTTGACTCAATAAGGCGTGAATTTTTGCCCTGGGCGACGACCGGACTCGAGATCATGCTGCTTCTTGGTGCATGCTTCGTTGAGTGTGCAAGCAGCAGGCGGAAAGGCAGGAGATTTTATGGATCCCAGCTGCCCAGCGAATCAACTGCAGTTCAGGCTGAAAAGGCTTCCGCATGACTTCGGAGCGCCCGAGTCTGTGGCTTGAGATCGAATTCAGCAGTTAGAGGTCAGTCCCCATGTACCCCGTGGCAGAGACATCCGAGACTCGAACATTTCTAGCATTGCGATGGTACCTCATGGTACCATTCGTGGAGACGCCAGCTTGAACACTGTGTGTTTGGATCTGCCGGCACGGGGCACAGGGACAGCCCACAATAGGATAACCCCCTGCTGTACCATAGGTGGGCACAGAAATGCACTCCTGCGATGAAGAGATTTCATGCATTCTTGCTTGCTTCAGAGTTCTTGGCTTTGGCCTGCTAGTGCTTTCTCTCGGAATGGGTCCGGGCAAAACCTCGAAAAACCGAAGCAAGCAGCCCCGGCTTCAACTTTTTGCGCGCATGTCCCTGGTAGGAGGCCTTTCAGGGCAAGGGCATCGGCTCCTATGAGCCAAGAAAGCTCAGGGCTTCAAAAAAAAAAGCGCCCAGAGCCCTCACAGGCCTCTCTTCGGCTCCACCGGATTGCTCTAAGAGCATCGCTTATCGCTTTCTCCTTGCCGGAGGGGCTACAGCCAATGTACACATCTGAGCTCGGAGAGAAAGTGTCCGCTTGCGGCCGGGATCTATTGGACTTGAAGTAGAGCAGGGTGTTGGGGCGTGTAGTATACTATACTTGGATGGAGACTGTAGGGATATTATTAAGATTTTCAAGCATGGGCAAAAGAAAACTTGAACTTCAGTTTGGATTCCAGCCAGTGTAGGCCAGCAGCGGCGAGGTGCCGGCCTCGGGCAGTGGTTCGCTAGCAGCGTAGAACATGAGATGCTCCCGACTGTAAGGCGGTGGGTATCTCCGATGACTCTGATGTGGAGGCTCTGCAGCCATCCAACTCATGAGTTGAGCCCCACCTATGCAGTGAGGTGCTGGCAACGACACTGCCCAAGGAGCCGGTCAAGGCCTTCGGCCGCAGATGCGCTTTGGTAGTGCAAGCAGCCGATCAGTGGTGTACGAGCTAGCGTCTGCGATGCCGCCAGCACGACACAGTAGGGAACAAAGCGGTGCCAACCAGCGAAATGCCGGACACCTTCGACACAATGTATCCAAGCTACTCCCAGTTGATTTGGCACGTTCCTATACTTTTCGACGCTTTTGAGACTTTGAGGGCTTTCCGCGAAATCTCCAATGTGGACTTTCGCGCTCGGGCGCCCTTTGCCGTGTCTTCATAAGTCAAAAGATGTGAACGGTGTCGCGACAGCCAACAGAACTCGGTTCTTCGCTTGTCTGTTTGATGAAAGAACGGGATATGCGGCTTTTGACTCAGGTTTTGGATTTTTTGCCATGCTTTGCGACTGTCTATGCTGTTGCAAAAAGGGTGTTTTCCGTTTGAGATGCCAGTATGAAGCTTTCGCAACATTGGGACATTTCGACTTTTCCCCTTGTGTGGGACTGTCCACTTTGACTTTTCGCTGTGTGCCGTACTTCACCGCTTTTCGAGTTCTTCGGAACTTTTTGACCTTTAGTTCTTTTCCAAACTAATGTGAACAAATGCCTCCTCAGAGATGTACAACCGCAAGAATACTTCGAACTTGATGGAGCTGCCGGGACGGCACCTGGTGTTGCGAGGCTGCGGGATGCAGGATGCTTGGCGGTACTGAGGACCGCCTCCCCCAGCTCCCCTCCGTTCGAGTCTGCTTTGTGGGACCATTGAGAAGCCCAGGAGACGGCGGGAGATGGTGATTCAGCGGACCCCGGCAGGCCCAGACGTTCGGCCACGATTCCAAGATCCGGAGCCCTTGCAATCCTCTTTGAGGCAGGCGCCACGTGTTGTGGAAACCACTCTCTCGAGTCTCTTCAGCGGCCGTCTCAGACAACCGATAGGCAAAAGCCCTTCTTCAACATTGATGCTGTAACCGGCTTCATGCCATAGGTATGCGTTGACATCAGGATGTTTTTCACAACTGACCGGTTAATTAATTTGCACGCAATTTGCACGTCAGGGCCCCTGTACGGACTCCGTCGCTCTCTTCAAAGAGTCTTCACCCACCCACCCCCTGCCCCAATGATTGCATCCGACAAGTCTCGGGCCTTGGTGTTTGCAAGAGTTGTGCACTTCACATGTCACAGACCGAGGCTCTCCAGCCGGCCCAGAAGAAAGCCTGGAGGCCCTTGCGTTGCGCTCGTCATGCCGTCATGCTCTGTCATGTCGAAGTCATCGTGACCTGCACCATTGTTGAACAGTTGATATGGCACATGGCATGGGCTGACATGTTGCAGACACTGCGGTTGAATGACGTGCCAGGATGCGACCGAGACACCGCTCTCCCCGAGGCGCGGCCGTTCTGAAAGATCTCCAAGACTTGAAGAGTTCACGGTCATCCTTTTCATTGCTGCAGTGGCTTCGCATGGAGCAGATTGTAATCGGCAATTATGCGTAGAATGTAAAGGTTGCATGCGCGACGGAGGCCGGCGGCATCCCTCAGGACAGACCCAAATTTGTTCTTCAGCCGGAACCCCGAGATCAGGCGCAGTATGTTGCAGTCCAAGGTTCTTGGAGCTGTTGCGGACTTCTGCGTGCCGAGGCCCCATGCCCATGCAGCGGCACACAGAGGCGCCTGCTGCATCACCGAGCATGCCACGACATTAAGAGCGATGCGGCGGAAGGACTTTGTCTTTCAAACGCGGTGAATTCCCGTGTCCTCACATGGAACATTTGCGATAGCGGCAAGATTTCTCCACACACCTCTCCTTTTTTCAGACGCCATGGCGCTGGCACAAGTCATCCAGTCTGTTGCGGACCACGTTGCGGACCGGCGAGGGGCCGTGACCATCGCACTGGCTGGTGCTGGCGCGTCCCTCCTGGCAGTCAGACTTTTGCTCCGTTCCCGAGTCGACCGCTTTCCTGAAGTTCCCGGGTACTGGCTGCTTGGAGTGCTGCCGGAGCTCGGACCAGGGGCGAAGTTCCTTACGGAGAAGCTAGAGGAGTGGGCTGAAAAGTATGGGCAGGAGGGCGTTTACGAGATGGATTTGGCGGGGTCACGCACAGTCGTGTGCTGCAATTGGGAGCAAGCCCATCCTATTCTCTCTCTTCGCCCGTTCAAAATGCCAAAGAACTGGCGCATTCAGAACGTCGTGGACATCATTGCCGGCAGCTTCTTCTCAGAGGGAGAGCGCTGGAAGCGAGAGAGGCGTGTTCTTTCACCTGCATTCAGCAGGAAGAACGTGGAGAGCTACATTCCGGCAGTGGAGTGTATCACTCAGCAACTTCTGAAAGAAATGGGCCGCGATCTCTCCGAAAGAGGAGAGACCAACTTCTCGGAGCTTTTGCCGCTCTACACCGCAGATGTGATTTGCAAGACTGCGCTCGGGCAGGAGATGCGGATGCTAGAGAAGAGGAGCTCGGACATCGTATCGGATGTGAAAGCACTCTTCCAGGCCTTCCAGACACGGATGTTTGCTCCGTTTCCCTACTGGAAAGTTCCGGGATTGGCCAGCTTTTTTGACAACGGTGCACAGGTCTCGCAGCGCTTCTACAATCGTTCCGAGCAGATCCTGCAGACAGCGAAAGGCGGTGGCCGGTGCATTGTCGACAAGCTGAAGGACATGGACGGTGACAAGTTCAGTCACAGCGAGCTGATGGATAATTTGACGGTTCTGTTCCTCGCGGGGACAGACACAACCAGCTTGGCTCTGTGCTGGTCATTCTACTACTTGTCCAAGGATCTGCAGCTTCAGACGGCTGTTGCCCAGGAGGTCAGAACGCTGCCAGACGGCGAGATGTCCTTGACTGAGCTTGAGACGCTTCCCACGGTGCAGGCAGTGTGGCTCGAGACACTCCGGTGCCATGGCCCAGCAAATGCCCTGGAGCTGCAATCCACAGAAGAAATCACGCTCGCTGGCCGGAAGCTGCCAGCAGGCACAGAGTTCCTCATTGCAATCCGGAATATCCTGAAGAATGATCCTGAAGTTAAGAAGAAGTTGGGGGACGATCTTCAGGTTTTCCGCCCTTCGCGATGGCTTGGGCCTGACGGCATTGTCAAGCATGCACCCTTCGATAGCCTAGCCTTCGGCTACGGCCCGAGAATTTGCCTTGGAATGCGGCTGGCAGAGTACGAGGGCCTTCTGGTCATCGCCAAAGTCGTGCAAAAGTTCGTCCTCGAACAGTGGGACAAGCCGCCATTGATGGAGACAGCAAACTTTGTCAGCAACGAGCCGGCTACCCCGGTGTCCATCAAGCTCCGCCCCCGTTCCTGGTGATCAGACAGTGGTGAGTTCTTGCCGGCTCTTATCCAGACAGGACGAGCACATAGCCGTCCTTTCTCTAGTGTAGGACTACCAGTGGGGCTGTACAGACCACGCAGGCACCAGAGCTGACTTGTTCAGACGCCCTTCCACCCTACTCGGTGTCGAAAGTCGAAAGTTGGAAAACCTTGTACAGTCTTTGAAGTTATCATCACCTAGAAATTGCTTGCAGCCATAGCTGACGGCGATGTGCTGACGGATCGTCGGTGATCGGCCGCATGGGCCTTGCTGCTTTCTCTCAGAGCTTTGAGTTGCTTTTGTGGCAGTGTGTCGCAAGTCACAGCAGACCGAGCCGACGGATCGTCGGCCATCTGTCCTTGACAGCCCGTTTGAGCAATTGTCGAGCATGCATCCGCCATGGGCTGGGTTGCAAGAGCTGACGGATCGTCGGCCGACTGCTTCCAACGTCTATCGCGATGCTGAGCGACTCCGGGAATATCCCCTTTGGAAAAGTCCAAAGCTGCTCCACTTGGCATTGTGCTAGGTCGGCCCATTGACGTTTTGCACGAACTGGCTACTGTTAACGAGAAGCCCCTTTGCATCAGGCGGCCAGTACGCCATCCCCAAGTCAAGGTCAGCTTTTCTTCAGCCGACACCCTCAGCTGCTGCATGGTGCAGCTAAGCTATTGTAGGGCGTAGGTATACTCTTCTTCGTGCCTGGAGCTGCTGCGAGCTGTATTAGCTGTATGCCGAGGCCCCGTGCCTATGCGCCGGGAAGAGGCCCCAGCTTTCAGGGAGCTCCCTCCGCGTGCCAAGCGAGCCTGTGGACGGCCATGTCGCCGAAAGGAGTTGCAGAAGCAGCCGGCAACCCCTCCGAGGATCGAGTCGGAGAGAGCCCATTCCTTCAGCTTCTCTAAGTTCCCTCTTCCTGAAGAGGTCAGCCTCTTCCTGCTCACGCTTGTTCTTCAGCTCGCGGCCCATCGGTTCGTTGTCTGTCGTCTTGCTGTCTCCTTTCCCAGTTAACTCTTGCCCAGGTCCAGTGCCTATGTGTCGAGTGGCCAAGGAGCAAATGTCGAAAAAGAGAGGCAGCTCACGTCTGGGCGTGCGCCCTTTGCTCGCAGGGGCCGCCGCGGGAGCCGAAGCCCGAGGAGCCGAAGGAAGACGCGGGCTCTGCAGACAGGCCGAAGGGCGGGATGCTCCATCTTCGCTGAGCCTCACACGTTTGAGTCGCCTCTTGTCGACCTGGGCTCTTGAATTCTGGACCTACGCTTGCGGAAGTGCCGGTCGACCGTGATTGCAGGAAGCAAGTGTTGGTTTTAGTCTTGGCTGGACGCGGGGGCGTTTTCTCGCCCCATGACATTCTGCTGGACAGGGGCTCGGAATCATGTGCTGCCAAGTCCTCGCAGACGCGCTCCTTAAGTGAGCTTACTCAGCCGACTGGACTGTAAATTCTGTAACATGGAAAGAGCTAGTTTTGCTGCTGAGGTGCTGCAGAGCCGGAGCAGGTCGAGCCCCTCGAAGAAGCTGCGATCTCAGCGTTCACCTGAACCCCCCTTGCCAGGGCGCACCGTAACTGGGCAGAGTTTCAAAGTCAGGCCTCAGAGGACGAGACAATGCCCGAGACCCGGAGTTGATGGAGTCCACCGCCAATACTTGTAGCAGAGTGAGGCTCACGGAGCTCCCTTCCAAGATCTCTTGCCGAGCCATCTCGAGTCGAGCACTGAGCAGCTACAAGCTGCAGCTGCAAGGGTCAGCGTTTTTTTCGGGTTCAGCTTGGTTGAGGTGGCCGCATGCAAGCGCCCGCCGAGCAGTTGAGGCCGACTGTCGCTTCCCAATCAGCCTTCCTCACCTATGCTCGTTCAGCCTCTGGCAGTTTGCGCCGGGCCAAGCGCAGACCTTGGACTGCGCTGCAGGCCAGGAGATGTGTAGCCGTTCGTCTCACTCCCGCTTCATGGCCGGAGCTCGTCAACCGATCAATAAGTCTTGCTACGTTGAGCCGTAGCTCGTACCGATCGCAGCGCAGATGCAGACCTTTTAATCACCCGAGGCAGTTCAGAGCACGGTGCCAGGTAACGAGAATCCCCAGCGGTTCGGCTTCGCGGCCCAAGCGGCAAGGCTTGGCTCAGGCCAGGAACTTGCCACGTCGCGATGCTCGTTGACTCGTTGCTGTGCTTTGAAGCTTGTGAGTCCCTTTGTCATGACGGTGTTCCTGCTCCTCCACCTCTGCGTAGTAGTAAGTAGTAGTAGTCGTAGTAGTAGTAGGAGTAGTAGTAGTAGTAGTAGTGGTGGTGGTGGTGGTGGTAGTAGTAGTAGTAGTAGTAGCGTAGCAGCAGTAGTCGTCGTAGTAGTAGCAGTAGTACTACTACTACTGCTATTACTACGGCGACGACGACGACTACTACTACTACTACGACTACTACGACTACTGCGATTACTACGACTACTACGACTACTACGACGACGACTACTACTACCACTACTACTACTACTACTACTACTGCTGCTGCTGC